ACATTATAGGTATTTCCTGTTTCATCAGCCGGCTGTTCTGGGTAACTTGGTGTGTGTGGCACTTCCCTAGGAAGAGAAAGTACCCTCCTGTTCCATGCCCATAAAGCAAAAGCACTGTGTTAATCGTGAAGATGTTCATAACATTTTGGTTGAAATGTTTTCTGAATGTACAAAACAATTTTTTCTGTTTCTTTTACTTAAAGAAATTGCTAAAACCACTTTTCACTAAGTGCCCTCTTCTTGCCAGTTGTCTTATGTGGTGCACTGAGGGCACGTTCCTCGACTTGTGTTCCTTCAAAATTTGTGATTTTGAAATTGCCTCTCAAATTCACCTGGGCTTTGATAGATGTGGGATTGGAGCCCTCATACTATGGACCTGACCCTGATTGAGCAGAAACTGCTCAACCAAGGGACCGTCGAGGGAAACAGTAACTGGTTTTGTACTTCAACTTATGAAATTTATTTCTAACTTTCTGTAACTACTGCAATCTAATGCCTCTAGATATTCAGTGTTTTTATCAGTTTTAAAGAAATTGGAATCAGGTCCTTCTGCAGCTAATTAGTTCTATTACACTGTCAGGAAATACCAAAGCTGCAGTGGGATATTTTCCTGGCCTTTTTTGGTGTGCTGAGGAACACATGTAGAAAATTGTTTAAGATAAACTTCTTGAGGAGAAAAAAAAGAATGGGTTTTGAGTACTGTAAAGATATTTTTTTTAATCAGTTGATTATACACAGTGTCAGCAACAGCTTCCAGCTAGCTTGTCAGCTTTCTATCTGAACTGAGGGACACCCAAACACAGATCTTACTTGTGTACTAAGCTTGTAAACATCTGGGTAAAGATTTGACATATTACTGAATAGAAAAGGTCTTATTCTTTTCTTTTATTTTTTTCTTTTATACACAGAAAATGCTGTGTCAGTTGTTTCACACTATGATTGCACTCAAATGCCACGTTTTCAAAAAACGTTTCTGTGACCTATGGGCAGCACATTTCATACAGCAGCCTCTTGCATACACAGTGGCTCTTGGTAGTTTACACAGTGCACAGAAAAGCCTCCAAACTTGGATGTGAGCCTGAGATTTGAAGATCATGGTAAAGCTTTTAGAAAACCGGTTCTTTGTGACAAATTTCAGTATTTTTTCAGAAGGACAGTTGGGAAAAAATATACGTGTTGGCCTTAAAAAAAAAAGGCAGATGGGAAGATGGGATCTCAGCCTTCCTGTTTGTGCTTGAAAAAGGAAGGGTGATCTCTCACTCGTCATTGCCACTGTGGAGAAGACATTGTCCTTGTTCTAGGCTAAGCCAGTTTAGATTGGATATTAGGAAAAGGATCCTACTTCTAGGGGTAAGAAACTCTGGGTATGTGAGTGAAGGGATGTTGTGGGATAGCTTTTGGATATGCTTTTTTAAAGGCTGGTCAGACACCTGGCAGGACGGTGTAGATGTTGGTGCACTTGCATAGGAGGAGCTAGGTGGTTTCCTGGAGCTGCTCCCAGGCGTCCTTCTGTCTGCTTCTGTCCCTAGAAATGGGCTCTCTCTGCATGGAGGGGTCTCTGAAAGCCGGGGTAACATGTGAAAATGAGGTTTCTGCATTTAACTTACTGTCACCATACCTGAGCAGAGCAAAAAGGGTTTCACAGCATTTAACATGGGAAACTGGCACAACTGTAAGTTAATTACTGTGGTAATGCTTAAAAGTTGCCTCAAGCATGCTGTTCCATCATTAGGCAAGTTATTAACCCCATATATCCTTCAATTTTCACTTGATAAGTTGGGGATTTGCATACCTCAAAGGAGTACTAACTTAGTTGTATGATTACATTTTATGAAATGGCCTAACAGCTTTCAGTGGAGGCAACTGTAGGTGTGGAGTCAGTACTGGGATCAGCATTTATGTGGCAAAACTTGGTAGAGGAAGTTCTGGTAAATGAAAATATTTTGTAATGATTCAGTGTTGTGTACAAGTATCTTCTGTTGTCTTCTCAAAACTTTGATCTGCTGCTGTTTGAGGTTTTTTAAGATTTTCTCTTGATTATAGAGCTGCAAATCTCTGTACTTCTGGTAACTTCAACAGGAGCAGGATTAGAATCTCTTACATCTGTTTTTGTTCCTATTCATACGGGTTTTTTTAAAATGGTAATGCCTTGGGGAGAGAGATCGTTCCTCACTATGTCATTCTGCTGTGCCTAATCTGGATGCTACTCTTGTACAAAAGATAAACATAATGCAATAAATCCCACTTAAGGCAAGCACTGATTGCTCAGGCACATGTACAGACTGAACATGGGTTTCTCAACCTAAATCCAAGACTGTTTCAAGACATAAACAATTTATTTCCTGACATTTTTATACTTTTACAGTACAATTTTTTTACTGATTGTTTTTCTCCCCTAATCTATTCCCTAGTTTCCTTCCTTCCTGACCTTATTCTTTCTTCTTCTTCCCATCCTATTTAGAATGAGCATCAATGCAATTGAGTCCATTGATATTTGCCTAATAAATTCTATCTAAATGACTTGTTCTGTGTTTCACACTATGACCAGAAGTTTGACATATCACTCATAGCTGCACACTGGCGGCATAAACTGGCAATATTTAAGGTTCTATACAGGTTGTTATTCTACCTTAATCCCTGTATTTTCCAGTAGAACAACACTGGTGTGTCAGCACGAGGCAGATGAAGACTGAGTTCATGTGTCCCACGACCTCAGTCCTTCAGTTCATATTGCTAGCTGTAGCTTCATTGTAGTTTATTTTAAAAGCATCCAGGTTGTGTTTAAGCAGAGCCAAATGTAGGATACCTGTGCTACAGGCCAGCTGAATAAAAGTTTGGAATGGCAGCTAAGTGTTGGTGGTTCCCCTTCACCACTCTGGAGCTCCACAGGTATGCTTGTAGGCAAGCCTGGTTTCCAGAGCAGCCTTAAACCCAGTTTTACTGACAAGATAGTGATCTGCCAAGTGCATGTTGTCTGCTTCTGTTCTTGTTTCACCACTGACCTGTGCCACTTCAAATTTCAGAGATGGGCAACCCAGTATTGATTTTCTTTCCTGTTTAAACTATTAAAAATGTGTTGGATTAAAATAGTTATTTCTTATTATTATAATTTTATCACTACTGATTTTCTTTACTGTAGACTCCCTGAGCAGATACCTGAGCTTTGATAATTCCTAGATAATTTGTAAAAACTTCAACTTCTTTCTGACACTGGAATCCTGAAGTCCTCGTGTGCAACTGCTACAGTGATGGAGGCTCAGTATTTTTGTACTTCAGGACATCCAAATCTGAATTAAACACTAAAAGTTCTCCTCTTCGACTTGGTCTTGTGGAAACTCCTTGCAATAGAAACCTTTTTATTATGTGCCTTGTACAGTGCTGTGTGCTTGAGGTTGCTTAATAAAAATTCTTCATTGCTATACATGTATCAACTAAGAAAACTGGAGTTCAGGCATTATTTATTTTTTTCTGATAAGGATCTTTATCAAAATCACAACTGCGAGGACAAAACTGGTTTTCCTGTTACTGGGGATTAATTGTTTTTTAAAATCTGCCTGCAGCAGTTAATGGTTTTCTCTTTCACTCTTCACAGAAAATGCAGGTTCTCTGAAAGTTCTCTTTGGGACACCTGAGTTTGTGGCTCCAGAAGTTATAAATTATGAACCTATTGGATATGAAACTGATATGTGGAGTATAGGAGTTATCTGCTACATTCTGTGAGTACCTTTGCTATACACAACTAGTACCTTTGCTATACGCAAATCCTGACAGTTGCTGAACATATGAAATTTCCATCAACTTTTGATTCTCCAATTTTCAGGCCTTTTGTATTCTAATTAGCAGCTCCAGCATGTTTAATAAAAATTCTCTGTTCTCTGAAGGGTGTAAGTGGTAAACTTGCAGAACTAGCAGTTCTGAAAATTCAGTCATTTAGTGCTGTACATCTTGTATCATAAACCGGCAACGCTTCATCTCATTTAAAAAGACAATGTGACAGTATTTTATTATTAACTTTAAACTATTTTTCCTTCCCAGATGCTAAAGAGGAATGTTTGGGCATGCACTAATAACTGATAACTTATATTCTTTTATTCCCAAGAGAGAAACCTTTTGTGAAATTTTGGGGTCTTCTTATTCAGATCATATCCCTTGTGGGACAGACTAAAGTATCCCAGCATTACCATATCTGTTCACAGTGCATTTTATTTTATTACTAAGCACAAATCACTGGATAAATACATTTTCTAAGCCGCATGGACCAAGCTTATGGAAGTATTTTAGAGGACAATTGGCTGCAGCTCTTGGTTACATACTTTGGTATTTGATTTGATCTTTATATGTGATTTGATAACACGTGATTATGAACTTCAATGGGTCTAGAGAAATGTATATGGAAATAGGATCTCCATGCCTAGAACAGTGAGTGATCTTCTTGCAGCTGTGACTTCACCCCTTTCATGCCATATAAACAAATGAAAAGAGAAGCTCAGTCTGGAGCATGGTTCCTTTTCCCTTGCTTGAGGTTCAGTAGTAAGTAAATGGCAGATCTGCTTTGCATTCATTCTTTTAAAAGGCTTCTCCCAATACCTTACCTTCTTTTTTTAAGAGTTCCCTCCGCCGTGGCTACTCTCTTCCTTGACATCTGGCAATGCAGAGTTGTTTGCCTCATCTTTACTCAGTCTTTCTGTGATTCTGCTTGCCTTGTCAGCCTCTACTTGTTCTCATACGCTTCTCATTTCCAAACTAAGCAACAGAATAATTTTCTTTCCTGTCCTGTACAAAAGCTACTACATCAACTCTCTTACTCCCAGAAAAGACTGAATATTTCTCTTATCTTCTGTTTCTTATGTGAAGGGTGCTACGCTCTTCAAGGTCACTTTGCTCTGCCAGTTTATTTACAGGACCTTTATTTTCCATTCGCTTCCAGCATTTCTTTATAGATCTTGAAAGCTCGTTTGGATCATTCTGTAGTTCAAATAATGTAGACCACACACGCAGTACTCAGATGACAAATGCATTTATTTCTCTAGCTTTTGAGGCCCCCTGAGTTACAGAGCACGGGAAGAGCTGTATGGAGAGCCCAGGCTGCCTGCACAGCCATGAAAAACCCAACAGCTCCATCAATGCTGCATTGCCCCCTTGAGGCCTCTTACACCTTAAGGAACAAAACATGAAACACAGTGTTACACACGCATTTAAATGGGGAGTTTAACGTCCTTTGCTGTCATTTGTTATCAAAGTATATGATGAATTTTCGTGTGTTTACAGTATAAGCAGTGACATGTCGGGCAGCCGAGCCAAAAATCGGTGATAGCAGTTGCGTGTGCTCCTAAGGCATGCAACCAGGGCTGCTGCTCCAGTGCGGTCTGTGTTGGAGAACACTGTCATCATTTGAGTAGGCAAGGAAAGGGAGCGGGTGAAACCGATGGAGAAAAGGTGAAATGCCTTGCCAAAGACCAGTCTGCCAGCAGTGGCAGAAGTGCTTCTTCACAGTTGCTCTGTGCCACCAGAAGCCAGGTATTTGGATGCTGTAATGTTCAGCTGATGGGACTGGGGTGGTGTTCCACTTGATTCAGATGACCCAATATGCCTTGTGAAATATATTACAAAATTACTTGTTTGCTAAGGTGTCTTTAAGCTCATTTAACTCCTCATGAGCTAACGCATTGAAAATCTTCTTTTTGATGCACAGCTATTGCCACAATAATGATTAACAGTAATAATCAGCTTTTGTCTTTCTTGCCAGAAGGCTGAAGTAATAGAAGTTAGGGAGGACCTGTGAGTCATCGCCTGGACTTTCCCTCTCCACCTCAAAGTGACAGGCTCCCAATCTGTCTTCACTTCCTTAAGGTCCAGCTATTTTTGCAGACTCACAACTATGAGCCATTATCCAAAATGGACCATCACATCATCACTACAGAATGCAAATAAAAGTCACTGAGAATCGCATCTCTCTTTAGCTGTAGCTCTGCTTTCCTGTTTTGATTATACGCTCAGAACTGCGAGATCTCATGCACGAAGTGTAAGACTCACTGATTTCGTGTCTGCCTCGCACACCATCACTGTGTTTGTAATTTAGCATTTGCATCCCCTCTCCCCCTGACACGGTGAGTGGGGGGCCATGAAGGAAGAGGCGAGCGCTGCAGCAGCACTGCTGTGTCCATCGTGTGTCCATCCTCTATCCTAAGCAAGGCAGCAGGGAGCATGCTATTGCATGACTTGACATAATACCTCTTTTAAGGTAGGATTCTAGAGCGTTGAGAAATCTGTAACCTGCCTAGAAAGAGAGTGAGTTTCCATTATGTCCAGTACAACAATGAATACACACCAGGTTTAGCAAAGAGCTGCTAAAGAGATCTCTGTGGCTGAACAGTCTTCCCTGCAGCAGAATAAATGGGTGGGATGTAATCTCAAGTAGGGAACAGGGTGACAGTGCTCCTCCAAAACCCTGCAGGAAAATCTCTCTCCTAGCCTTCTGCTATGCAGGCGTAAGTACAGATACCGCACTCTCTGTTGGGATGCTGCATCTGTCTTCCTTATGGCATGACTGACTTAATTCCATCCTACAGCGCATGGGTTCCCTTTCCACATTTCTAAATTACACATTAAATCCTTTTAATCTTTCTGGATAACTTATTCAGTCCTGTCTCTTCATCAGTCTTTGTTCTTCTGTAAAGCTCCCTGTTTGTACTCTCCACCTCATGTTTTTTATCTTCCACTTTTATCTTGTTCTCCCTCCTGTTCTGCATCACAGTACTGTCCCACATACTTAAGTTCATCTATTGCCTTTGAAGTAACAGGCCACAAATATTATAGCTTGTGTATATCATCTCCATTTATATCTATTTCAGTGTTTCTTTCTACATTTACAATAACCTTTATCTAATGAAGGTTAAACCTCCTGAATTCTTTCCAGCTCTTTCTGTCCCATTTATTATCCTGGGCATTGCTGAATTTGTTTGTTTGGTTTTGGTTTGGGTTTTTTTTTTTTTTTCCATTTCTAGTGCTTTTCTGATGATCCATTTAGATAGTCAGTGTTTCCAATATTTAGTAATCTGAAACAATTTCTGGTTTTATTTCAACCAAATTTTGGTCTAAGATTTCAGCACTGCATGTACGTACATTGAAAGCGAATAGCCCCTTTCCTTCTGTCACCATAGATTCTGTCTGGTTTCACTGAGGAACTGGCTGTGGCTGATTCAAACCTCAGTTTGCTTTCCATTAGTTTGTCTTGCTTTATCAGCTCCAAGCACTGTATATCTTTGCAGAGTAGTTGATCTCTGACAATTAATAATTTTTTAATATGCTATAATTTAGGCTGTTTTTTAGTATCAGATTTGATCTTGCTGTATACTCTTTTCCTTCAGCGCCTTCCTAACAACACACACCCTGATTCTTTAAATATGCCCTTTCCTTTTTATCTATTCTGCTATTCATCACTGATGTTATTACTCCCTTGTTTGGCAGTTTGGGTTGGTTGAAAGATCTTCAGCATCGTTCATCTTTTGGGTGTGCTGACCTGGGACTTTAATAAGGCAAGGCATGCTGCTGGCTTACACTTGGCTCCATGTTGTATTAAAAATTTAAGCCTCATTAATACAAAGATGAAAGCACTCCTGGTTCTTTCAATAAAGCAGGTTAGGAGGGCTTTAAGGTCATGACTGTACTGCTCAAAAGAAAATTAATTATTTGTTCAGTGTCACTGGCAAATAGTGATTCCTCATTAGCACACGGGGCACATAAAACAAGGATGAGAACAGAGTAACACCCTTGCTCCAGCAATCACCTGTCCTCCTTCAGGTGGGTGCAGTGGTCTGTTTCTTCTTTGAGACAACTGGTGCGGGAAGCAGTCAGCCCTCGGCTAAGGAAAAAGTGGTTTTGTCCAGTGGGTGCATGTGTCCCCCCAAAAAGTATCTTGACACTATTTGTTTTGTTTCACTCATAAAACAATTAAATTATTACATGATCTCCAGGGTGCAGGCATTATCATGTGCTTATTTAACATGACCTGCACAGGTTTATCAGAAGCAGGTACTACTCTTCCTACTGAGATCTGTTACTTTTTTTTTTTTTCACCGCTAATGCAATGCAGAGACTGTAAGGAGGAACTCAGTGCCGTCAGCCCAAATTGGTTGCCGCTGCAGGCACTGCTTGCAGAGCAATACTCAGAGTCTTGACTTTTTGAGACGTGCAGCAAACTCATCTTTCCTGGACTAGAGGCAGTCTTAATGCCAAGATTTCCAAGTGAAATGCTTTGGGGTTTGTTACATAGGCAGTGAGACCGGTGACCACATTGGACCCTTTTGATCTTACTGTTTCCAGATCTGCACTCAGAGCTTTCTTAGAACAGATCAATAAATGTTAAGGAACTTCTAGAGGATAAAATATCTTTCTTCTTTATTTAGAAGTGGAAACTGTGAAAGATTTTCTAAACAAATGGTTCTTAACATGCCAGGAAGATGCCTGGTTAAGTAGCTGGAAAAATGTTTTCAGTAAACAACTTGGTGCTTGTCTAATAGTAACTTTGCAGTGTAATCTCTGTATTAATTTTCTGGAGCAGTAGCTCATCTTTATCACTTAGCTTCAGCATTCCAAAAATAAATTGTTTCCATAATCTGTCAAAAGAGTTGCTGGGCCATTATTACTTTAAATGGCTATTAAGAAATGAACAACCAAGACTTAGGTCAGTGAAATGTATGCTAAAGATAAGAATTTCGGGTTATGAACTACATTTGTTGCTGGATTTTTTTTTTTCTGACAAGGAACTAGTTCTCCTTAGAAGTATTTCCATGACAAGGCAACTGATTCACAGGGCAAAGCTGTGGTAGAGAGAGAAAATTATTTTAGCTTTATAAATTTGCAACAGAACATTCAGAAATACGAAAATAGATTCATTGAAATGTTTGAATGGATACTGTTACACTGGTGTTTGGAAATGACAGAGTGGAGGCTTAACCGATGCCCGTCTGGTAATCTACCAAACGCTCAGCATGGGTGAATCCTACCACTAGCATTTGAGATTTTAGCCAATAATTCTGTCAGTCAACTCTTAAAAGAAAAAAAAAATCCAACTGAAACAACCAAAGGGATTTTTTCCTCTCTAATCTCCTTCTATTTATCCTCATCCCTCAAAAGCTGTGTGTGACATGCAGCATCCCTTTGCCCAGGAAGCCAGATGTCTTTGTAAGCACAGCCTCTTACGGCGGTGTGGAGCACTGGTGTTTCCACGTGAAGCAACGTCTCTGTACCTGTAGCAGTCTTTTTAGCATGGAAATGATCTCTCAATACTGCGGCTTTAGCCTCTGGAAATAGGCCAAAATATTATCTAATGTAGCACAAGAGCTGCACAATACTATTTGTGGTAACACTGTGCAGAGGTCTCCTTTGCCATACTTCGATCAAGCATTGAAGGGAAATGGGATTGTTATTGCTCTGGCTGCCCAAGTGTGACCTCTGGAAGCTTAACTGGATGAAGAGAGTATGTGCATACCTTATATTGACAGTGAAGTACAGAAATACTTCACAGACCCTTCATTTACATAAAATGTGAGCCTTTTTAGCAGATGCTGAATCACCTGAGAGATTATTATACTTACTACATAGTCAAAAAAGAGACAACTTAGCAATCAGTATCTGGAACCCAAAATTCAGAACTGCAGTCTGGATGAGATTTTTTTCCCTTTCTAAAACATTACAGAGAATGATGACATTGTCATAAATAGGAAAACGCTTAAATACCGGAGTGGAGTTAGGTTGAAGGGCTGGCAGGAGTGCTTTGAGGATGCCAGGACAGAGATTTTGCCTCAGCGATTTACCTAGCTGTGGCGGCTGATGTGCATGAGGGCTGAACAGAGTCTCTCACTGCGCCACAGCTGTGCCAACTCCCCAGTGCTATCGGGCATAAACCTCGTCCCGTCCAGTAAAGTAAGTGTCAAAGACAGAGAACAGTTGTGGGAAAGTTGTTTTATGTGAGCATTTTTGGTTTTAGGTTAATCTTTCAGCTTTCGTAACTCATACCTCTTATGTGCTCATAAATGGGTTTATGCCACTGTATACGTTTCTAAAGTCAAACTTCACTGTTGCATTTGAATGCACCCCACATAATGGAAAGTAAGACGGCAAATACCTTCTGTTCTGATTTACCTCTCTCTGCCTGAGAAGAAACAAACCTTTTATCTTCATCTCATGTATTATTACTAGCAGATTTCTGAAGTATACATGAAGGATTCTAGACTGTGCTGTACTGCACACAACTTCCAGAAATGGTAAAACATTTAGTATCCGCTTTGTCTGAGGCTTCAAAGAGCGCGTGTTTCTGCTCTGCTTATAGAGGTAAAATCCTTAGGAACAAATTCCAAATCAGATTTTAATGTAATTAGTAACAAAAGAGTAGCAAAATACCTTTGAAGGAGGAGATTATACTAATATTATTAATCTAGTAGCTCACTTTATTTGATCCCAAACTCTTTTTCTACCAGTCTGTTCTGTGATATTCAGTAGCATCACAATATTCATAGAGCATATATCCATATAGTATTTTCAGAACCCTAATAAGCTCCACTTACTTTTCCATATTTAAAAAAAATGTACTACTGTTGAGATGTAACTGATTGTTGTAACTGCTTAACATGATGGTACAGAGAAAGCAAAGAAAGCCTGTAAATTTTCATGAAGAATAAGTTATTGTGTAAATTGCACGCCAGGAAGAAGACCTGGAAAACTGAATAACTTGCAGTTTTAAGGAATAAGCAACCTTAGACCTGAAAGATTTTACTGAAAGGGTGATAGATACAGGAATCAAAAGTATCTGGATGCACAAAGGTACAGCACAATAAAGGGCAACACTCAACTGGAGAAAGATGCTCTGCAAAAATGATACCATGATGCTCTGTAATTGCCTTTCACTGGCAATTTATCTGTTCTATTGGGTAAAAAGCCTTGGAAGCTCAAGTTAGGATATAAAAGAGGAGTATTTCCATTTCATGCATCATCATGACTGAGAACATAAAGACCAAATTACTTTTGGATGCATCTGCATGACTCTACAGCCTGCAGTGATGTAGCATTGTTTTATCTGTCTATATAATTCAGGGTGATTTTGTTTACAAAATAGCCCTGTGGATTTCATTATTTCATGATGCATCTTTCTTTCTGGGCTCTCTCTGCAGGAGTAAATGGAATAAAATGTACAAAAAAGCTTGGCTTGACAGTAAAGGCAGCAAAGTCACTCTGAAAGCACCAGGAAAAAAAAAAAAAAAGCTATTCAACTGAATTTGG